TCACTTATCCCCGGGACTACTGTGGTCTTCTCAATTATGTTGGGGTTATTAACTAAGACCAGGTCCAAGAGATTACCATTTCTAGTTGGTTCCTGGACTGTTTGAAATAACCCGTGGTTATCCATTAGGTTTAGTAGTTTCTCTGCTTGGCCTGTGTAGGCCTGACTGTTGTCAGCTACAGTAGTATCCCATTTGGTGCCAGGGGTGTTGAAATCGCCAAGAATGATCACATTGTCAGAGTTTATTTTTGCTCCCATTTTACCTATAGACCTGTCAAGTTCATCCAGACTATTTCCCTGGTCTGATGGGGGTCTGTAGTATGTACCTATTATCAGTGGTTTCCTTCCTGCAAGTTGAGTTTGTGTCCACAGAACCTCGCAGTCTGTGTCAAGGTCTGGCCTATGGGTAACAATTAGATCATCTCTGTTGGCCTGAAATACACCACCTCCTTGGCCAGTTTGTCTGTCTTTCCGGTGTGCTATGTAGTTGCTGGGGAATATTTCACTACTTGCTATGTTTTGGTTGAGCCATGACTCTGTACCTGCTACTATATCTGGCTTGTAAGTGTCAACTACTGTCGCCAGTTCAGCTGTTTTGTTCCGCACACTCTGACAGTTTACTAAGAGAAGTTTACTTTTGGATCTCTTGTGACTATGACCCCTCGTTTGAGAATTACGTATACCCTGCTTTGATTTAAATGGAGTGGATGTAGCCATTGGGATTTCGTCTGGTAAACTTGAGTCAGAACTCAGCGTGTCAAATGAGTTTACTGAATGGAATGTTTCATCAGTGATATCGAATATGGCCGATGCAAAGTTGGGTATACCACAGTCACAACATACCCACGAGTATGATCGGTGGGTTTCTAGTGCACTGTATACTTGAGAACATAGCCCAATGCAGTCACTGTGGTACCATCTATCGCATTCATCACAGCATATTGCATTATGGGTGTTACGCACTGCCTTGTTACAACTCCCACATGGAAACTTTGGTGGTCTAGGCCCTGGGTTGATCTCAATATCCCCGCTTAAGATCATATTAATCTTACAGCGGCAAATGTGAGGAATGGTCGGGATATCGTTTCCGAATGAGGTGCCTATTATTTGTGACGGGCCCAGCGGGAGATATGGACATGTGAAGGACGCTTATATAAGTGTTTCAAGTGATGGTGAACGGCCTGGGGGTAAAAAAAGCCTAAAGGAGGGCCTGCAGTGGGGGGGGGGGGGG